TTACCGGGGGTAGAACCCCCGGTAGAATCAACCCACGTAACCCCAGGTAAAACCAACCCCGGTAAAAACCAACCCCGGTAAACCTCCCACCCCGGTAATCTTTCACTGGGGTCCTGAATAGTATAAATAGAACCTCGCAATGTGAGTCAAATAAATCAGTCTGAAGAGTTCAACCTTGAACGAAACTACTAGTCACTGAAAACTAGGGATAACTTGTCGCCCAGCCAATCTTTATCTCATATTTATAGACAAACAACTTACCTTCCTCTTGTTTGACTTTTTTCATTTGCTGCTTGCATTTCACTTCTAACATCTCTCTCTAAATCTCGTATTTTCTTTGTTAACTGACGATATTCATTCACCAATTCACTTGAAAAAGAAAACTGAACTATTTAACCTTCTCTAAAATAGAATCTATCTGAATATACCTTGAATATATAGTCAGCCATTTTTAAGAATGACCACAGAAAAATATTCCTGCTAGCTCCTGCTTTCCAATAGATAACTATAATCATAAACAGACAATAATCCTTATACATGGCTGGAAAGTACATACAAACCACATCAAATGAACAGTAACAGAAATTCTCTAGTAAAAGTATGAAATCATTCTCAAGACAACCATTTCTTACCTTGAATATTCTTTCCATTCATTATTAGAAACTAAGGTTTGCTGTAATTGTCTAAAATATTGTTTTCTACATCTAATAGCAGAGCACTGGACAGTTTTACCAATAACATCATCTAATAACACAGTCTTCTGACAGAGTTCAGGAAATCCAAGCACCGATTTTACACCTACAAAAAAATTCATATCGCTGAAAATTTAAAAATCTTTAAAATGTGGCTGTATCAATGTAATCACTCTTAATTCACTCAAGCTCAGCAAACTTGCAAATAAAACCACAGTTCTACTCTAAAACCATTTCAAACTTTGTTACTATAAGGATTTCACAGTTCATAATGTATTATATCATAGAATACACCAGCTGCTAACAAAGTAATAATTTTTTCAATTTTTGCTTTAAACATTCTGTAATAATTTCAAACTTTGTCTTTAAACAATCCAGAACCTTACCATTATCTCTTTTGATTACTTGACATAGAACGTAATTAGAGAAAGAAAACAGAAATTCATAGAATTTATTTCCACCGGGGGACATTAATAATGAAGCTGCTACTCTTGGCAGATGTGAATCAGGTTCTTCCTGTAATAGAAGAGAAGATGAATAAGTATTTCTTGACATTGTTGCACTTTACACCATTACACCATCATTTATTGTAGCTTTCTGCATGTCACAATTTGCTAGCTACTTAGAAACAAAGACAATAAAAACATGTACCTTTTGTATGTTAATTAACCAATTATTACAAGCACGTCTAAACAATTGTTCATCTTTTTTATTCGATATTGGCCAAAAACATCTACAAATAAATAACAGAAACATCATATTTCTTCATAGGATTAATCTTCATTGAAATTTTAAGCTGCACATGCAATTGAATAGTTGTGTACCTGATTTGTTAATAAACCATAGTACCTATTCATTATACTCATTTAAATGGCCCAACTTGTACCAGATTGTCACATGATTTTGATAGTTCAGTCAGATATAAAGCACAGAAAGAAAAAAATTAACACATTGTGGCATAAAATACATAAGCGTCCAAATTTACCCCCAATGACTCTACTGGACTATTTTTTGTCAATATATAAGAATTACATGACAAACCAGTGGTAAAGCTTAAAAAAAAACAGGTTCTTTAAGTTACAGTACCATACTGTAAAACAGAATAGCTGAAATAATATTACTTACATACACCTGAATTCTTCTTTACACATAACAGGGTTTAACTGGTTAAACAAAAAATACAACACTGCTTCTGATCCTGTTTTATTAGGAAGATTAAACATGTCTCTAAAAATAGAATGTATTAATGAAATTGAAAGTAAGATGGATTAGATCTACAAAATTCAGCTCCAATAGACTAGACTTTATTACTAAAGGCAGAAATAGTGTGTCCCATGGTCAAATTGAAGTTGAAGAATTGAGGATTAAAATCAATAAAGATCAATCATGGTGGTAGTTTATATACAAGTTTTTAGGATAACCAGTTTACATTTCATAATTACAAGTTTAACAAATACCTACTTTGTAAAAGGTATTCTATACTTCATTTCAAAAGTTTTTGCTTCAAAGCCAAGAAGAAGTAAATTGGTAAAAAATGCTTGCTTGATATCATATTCTTTACTATTATAATCTGTTTCTAGAACAGAACCAAATACATCACTTTCATTTGCCATCTTTGGTTACTTCAATAAATCTATGTCATCTGAAAATATATCAATTAAACATCAAATATATATTATAGGCCAACGGTAATATACCAGTATCATGATAATAATATAATATTTTGGAGAGTTAATGTTTATCATGACAAAAACACACTCATATTTGAAATTGTAAGGAGAGTGAGTATCTGTGTGAGAGCTCAATCTGGGCTACTCACGCTCCTCACAATTTCAAATATGAGTAAGTTTTTGTCATAAGATAAACATTTACTCTCTTCTCACATGTGTCACAACTAAATCAAATTTTAGTTGTTACTAATACTAGGCTTATTGAGTTATTATGACCAAGGCAATGTGGTGATATAATCAGAGAGAAGCTTTACGCTGCATACAACTACTACTAGACGAACATAATGGGAAAGTAAAGTTGGTTTTCATCAAAAAATTCAAGACGAAAATTGTTAAAATTGTAGCTTAATTCACTGTGATAGCCTAATGAAGTTTTGTAGTGTTTGGACTTGTTTCAAAATTAAAAACTGATTACAAATTTCAGTTTGTGAGTTTTAGTTACACACCTGGCAACTGGCACATAAAGGAATTATAACAGACTTTAATATTCTGAAAAGTGATTAATGTCCATATCTCAAATCTTCTGAGTAACTTTCACCAATCAATAGAAACATTTCAGAAGAATGATAACCTTCAATAACTAAATAAGATTTCATTTCGCCGCCATTTTCAAGAACCCGGATGTAGTTTCATTTAGCTGAATAATCCAATAATCGGTTCAGTTCTATATCAGAAAACGAAAATATTTGAAAGTAATAACTCTATGGTTGAGATAGCTCTCCTAGGCTATGCTACTTACGATTTCTCATAATTGGGTTTGCCTTTTTCATGGATATTTTTCACGAAGACCGACCAAAAGGCTTATAGAGTCATGAGCTTTCAAAACCAAATTTTAATTAGATGAATACAATAAAATAGTATCGATTCATTGTTTGAAACAATAATGACTGGTTTGCATACAATGAAAATGGTCAAAACTGATGGTTTCCAAATAATCTTGGCTGCACAAAATCATTTATTTCCATATAATCTGCTTATTTCAAATAATTTTGTCAAAGAATTTAATTCCCACATTGCGCCTCATAACCAAACAATTCACTGTAAAAGTATAAAGATAGGCTATAATTTAAAAAATACACAGAAGTGTTCTATATATTATATATCTTGTTTGAAATAACCAGGAAAAAAGAGTGATTACTGGCATTTGTGGGTTTTTGATTTTTGGAGTAGGCTACTAGGCCTAGCAGTTTTTTTTGTTTGTAAAAGACAGTTGGTAGGCTAGCTTATTCTGTAATTCTGAGTTAGTATCGTTTAATTGTACGGGAAGCTGGGATAGAAATATTATTAAATTGGGAAACAAATGGTAGTCTATTATTTGGGAATCAAACTGAATAATATTGAGTCGAGAGGGTGAAATGTTTATTAGTTGATTCATCCAAAAGATTTCCCTGTATAGGCCTAGTCTTTTTAGATGTCTTGGGATTTTTTGTCTCCTTCATGGGAGGGTTTTAAAGGGACAGAAGCGGCATTTTGGTGGATTGATTTTAGTCGTGAACAATTTGGATTTGAAGGCTCAAATTTCGACGGTGAGCTATGAACACTATTAATAATAGTATTATTGATTGGTTTAGCTACTAAAAAATTCTAATGAGACTAAAGTATGAGTGGTAAAAAAATGGAGCATTTGTCCCTTTAAGCTGTGTTTAACTTATTTTCAATTTGAGAAACAGTTTCAAAACTTGCCAGGACACATCGGATCGTAAAGTTTAACGGGGTTTGCTTCAAAACGACGGATGGTCGGAACGTTACCGGGAACTAGACTACGTTTCTATGCAGAGCTATGGAAGCACCAATCGAGCAGAAACTTAAAAATTTTCACTCGTTAGTGATAATATTGCGATAAACACCAACTCTCACGAGAGGTGCCAACAACATTGTCGTCATCAGCCATGATGGCATATATTATTTTGTCTTGCAACCCGGGCAATGTTTTAAGGAATGGTTAGTATTTTCTGAACGCGCACGCTCATCGCAAAGACTTGAATTCCACGGCCCACTTCTTAAGGCCCTGAAACAGAAAGGCGGAGGCATCATCACCTTCAGTGGAGACTATCGTGTTGGAATTAACCATTTCAATTGCAGATACTATAGTCAGTTATGTCAATTTCAAAAGGCATGGTGACGGAATCACATCAGTAGGCCTACCGGTATATCAACAGTGTGCAGAAACAGTGCGTATGTTGTCAGACAAGCTCAAAAGATGGTCTGATACAAAGTTGTCTTTTTGTCTCTCCAAAAGATGGCGTAATTTCGCAGTTTCTCATGTATAGATCTCATGATTGAGGTAATGGTGCCTACGTCGCCACATTTACATTTTACAATCAACAACATGTGGTGAAGTGTGGACCGTGACCCCAATCATGTGATCCACGCCATCTTGGTTTCATTTTGGTACCATGTTGGGAACACAGAATAGCTGGTAATGTCTTCATGGACTCATAAATGGTTTATTTTTGCCTTAAATAGCAGGCTCTACCCGTAACGATATCACGCATGAGTGGCTAGTAGCCTACAGGACCAACCTGACAATGGGATTGCAATTTTGTTTCCATACACAGATATTGTCATATGACATGCGACATGAAAGGGTTCAGTAAAGTCCAAAATAAAACTACAAGCTATGCATACCGGGGTCTAAACGTGGTTTAACTTACTGCATTTTATTCCCAAAAAATGAATATTAATTAAACCAAGGGGTGATGTACATTTATAATGACAAGAAGAAGAATTATTACAGGAGACAAGAAAACACCAATACTCATTTATGATGCCTAAATTGTATCTTCTCATTATGCAGAACAATTAATTTCTGTATGTAAATATCGGTGTGATATTATGCCAGAGAGCACATTCAAGTCCCCGCGGTTTCATAGCCTCTTGCCATTGATCTCCACCGCTTTTTGGTGCACCAGGGCCAACCAGGACATGACCTATAATATTATCTTTAGTATATCTTCTATTCCTTTTTATAATAAATTCCAAATTGTAAGAATCATGATGTTCATTGGGTATGGTAAATAAAAATGGTTGATTCCAAACTGGATGCAGTCCTCCTTGCACCTGAGTTTCACGACTTGAAACGATTTCACCATCTTTATATAAGTTGATGACCACACTATGACCTGAAAAAACAACCAGAAATCTGAGACGTGCAGGCCCGTAGCTACAGGTGCAAGCCATGACATTTGATATTCGATGTGTCATGCACACTCAACCTTCGCTATTTGAAAGCATCTTAGTTCCCAATAGATGCTTACATACACATTTTTATTAATAAACACAAGACATATTGACTACCTGGTACTCCGATGAGCTTATCTGATTTTGGTAGGTTATTGGCTTTCCTTATCAACACCTTCATTCGTTTCGCCATTGATTGGTATTGTAACAAAACAAATAATTCTCCCAAATCGCTTTCTAAAAACTTATTTGATGTACTCATCTGAAAATAACCAAAAAAATGTATTATCTGTTTTCTGTTATTTTTTTATATCCCTATCATCATTGTAATCTAACAAATTTTTGCACTGTCTTGCTTTTGTGTATTTCTAACCAATCAAAGCGAGTGATGAAGGACCTGTTGGTTGAGAGGTACCGGCGGTTGCTCACATTCACAAGGCAATCGATCAAATTTAAATATTCTATATGAGATCATCATTATCCCAGAACGAGTTTATATTTCACGTAAAAAGTACTTCCTTCATGTCTATATCAATTGGTACATACCTTTTTCATCCATTTTCTCTTGAAATATACCTTAATCTCATTATTTTGTGCTGATTTCCAATCTATATCCCGTCCATTTACAAAACCTTCACATATAATAGACTCCCTGTGGGATTTTTTCTTTGAATCTTTTCCCAAAACAGTAAGACGAAATGTCGATTTAATCAAATTTTCAACAGTCTGATCTTTCAATCTAAATATATCAATGAACTCCAAATTTTTGGCAGCATGAACTGGTTGACTATGGAATCCTTCAGGATGATCTGGGAAAACTCGTAACCAAATATGTATATCATTATATAAGTCGATTTTTAATACATTGTATAACTTATCTAGACTGATAGTTAAACAGTTGTGGTCTGTATCCAGATTGATAAATAAAGTCATAAATGTGAGAGAATCTGTGTTATTGGTTTCCGGCACGTCTTTATATAAAGTTGTAAGTGACGTACATCTCTTAATGGGTTCACTTCTTGGGTCAAAACTTATATCTTCAAAACTCCGTGCCTCTGACAACTTTGCCCCATGTATAATTCCTATAATCGGTCTAGGATATGAGGGTGGTTTGGAATCGGCGTAAATATCAGATTTACCAAACGCATCAGGTGCTGTTGAAGTACAGGCAATCTGAGACTTACGAGAAATTATGTCCAATGCTTTATATCCTTCTATCTCTACTTCTTGATTATTTAATAATACATATCTTTTATCACTTATACCTGAAAAAATAAATTAAAACAACTGATATGCTTCGTTTAAGATAAATTGCCTTTTGACAGACAAATGACTTTTTTGGTTTTTGGTTAAGCTTTGGGTGGTGAGAATTGAGGGAAGACTATGCAAGGATAGCGGCAAGCATTTTTGGCGCAGAGCATCGGGCTCGTCAAACGTTAGAATAAAACGAAAATGAAGTGGGGATAAATCACTTTTCTAGGGGGCAAATAGAACTCTCCATCAGCATAATTTGTTTTCTCTGGATGAGTTAAAAGAGTCTCAATAAACGTAATTACTTTTACCTATAAAAGGATTCTGCAAAACAAGTTGTTGGGCTTTAGGTTCATCGTATTCTACTGCATTTGTATAACAACAACAACATCGTTTACAGAGTTCCATTGTATTCTGTAACCAGGCTCACAATCTGGTCAAATAAATCAAATCAATTTGTCATAAACTAAAATGTGACGTCACCCAACAGACGGCTGATAGAAAGGTAACAATTTACAAAATGATTTTGACACCAGCTAGTCTAGTGTTCTCTATACTAATAGATAAAACTCTCAAATCATCATTAATGTTCTCCCAAACTTTTCATAGAAGTTGAGGCAAAATTAACATTCTAAATTATCAATTGACGCTTTGTGCTTTATTGCTTCAAAATCTTAAGGGTGACAAAGGGTATTTGCCTGAATATATTTGTTTGCTTGCAATTTTGCCTACCGCTTCTAAAGCCGCATTAACTCCATTGACCCATTTGCCATCGAAAATATTCATTAGCATTGCGACTTGTTCTAAGATCCCATATGGTCAACGTGGCTGAGCGCTTTCACGAAAAATGCGGTTTTTTTTTCGACAATTTGAACACCTTGTGCCACACATTGTTCTTTATCAAATATGTCCTGCTGATGTTCAAAACGTCAGTTGTACTAAAAACACAAAATGTTACTTCTCATGACATAATTTCTTACCTTAAAAGTTTTCAGTAAACTTGTTCAAGCAGCATGTTTTTACAATGGGTGGTCAAAAAACACAATGAAGTAACGGTTGATAAAGGTGAAAACTGTTGGTATAATGATTTTTTTGTTTCTCTTTAAGTCGTGACTGATGGTTAGTTCTGAACAGTTGTGAACTTTTAAGTCCTTAGAGGTCATAGCTGTTCAGTCATTCGAAAATAGAATATTAACGAAATACGTTGATTGGACGAACTAATTCACGCAACCAATGAACGGGCTGTACAGCCATTCTGAATAGGTTATGCCTACATAAAATATTATCTTTGAAGTAGCCATGTGTTGACGTAGTGAAACCTTCTCACGGCTGTCTACATGGATTACAAAACAGTGGGATTATAGATATTTAGACAATTATTATTTCTATTGCGTACATTTTATTAACATCTCAAATATTCCATTTGACAGACTACATACTTTGTTTAATCTCTGTCAATTTGGCAAGAAAGTTGAACACAAAAGAAGATCATATTAAATGGTGAAATATTAGTTGAAATGCACATTTTTTATAAATGTTCAAGCGTAAATTATTGATTCTCGGTTGTACTACTTTATGAAAACAAATATCAACACCATCAAAATTAGGTAACGAAATTGTGATATTCATGCACATTATACCAATCAGATCTAATTAAAACACAACTCTGTTGAATTGCTCATGTGCAATCTATATCCATTTTAGTTTTTCACTTTTGTCATAAATGCACTGCAAATAAGCAGTAAATAATCTCTAATATCCAGAACACTTTCTCTGTTCAAAGACACAGAAACAACACGAAGATATGTGTTTATATGCAAATAACACCATTTTATACATATTTTGACAGTATCACAGTTTATGTTTTGTAGATATAACAATGTTTATTATAATGATTAGTGTTAGGAGGTATCAAGATAATGGTGGGGTGAGATTAACATAAAGCAACATGTATACATTCTGTTGAGGAAACACTGATAAAATTAGACTGATTAAAGTTGTGAAGCATTTTATCAATCGACAAATTGTCATTTTAGGAAGTCTCATGAACACTCCTAGACCTCTTAGACTAATGAATCGATGCTAGAACATAAACCATACGGATGAAATTCCATAACACTAAGTTCTAGAATACTATGTTAATGTGACATTGCGAGTTAAACGCGAACTTAAGAAGAGTTAACATCGTAACATCACCAGGTCCTGCAATTGGCCATTATGATAATCACAATACGATGTTTCACAAATGAGTAATTTTTGACAGTTTCCATTTCTTTTCAATATACTGACACAAACACTGGCTTTGTACAGTATGTCTCTCTTCAAATCGTTCTGTTAATTTTCCACGTAAATACCAGCAGGCATACATTGCTGCTTCTTTTACTAACATTAAATGAAATATATCCTACAATAAAAATTTACTATGATTAAATTGTTAAATTGTTAAAAAAAAAATTATGTGTATCGAGAACACTGATAGCATCAATTTGCACAATTCCAATTTTCAATCAGACATCTATATGGTTTCCTCCGATTCCACAAACAATAAATGTTTGGTGATGTCACAAAATCAACATACCGTTATCAGAAAAGGCCCTTCGCGACTAGTGATGCCATCAAATAGAGAATTTGCAGAAGCCACAGACGTCTGATTGAAAATTGGACAAGCTGACTGACAAGTACATTGCCAAACATGTTTTCATGTCCTACCAGCAAACCTATTCACCCGACTCGATAACTATTTCTGGTTATATATTTACTATAATAGTCGCAATAAGGCAAAACTACTAATGGTTGGGTTGTTTAAGCTTGAACGCATTATGCTGATAAGTCAAAAAATAATTGGGGCATACGATTTCGATCAGTATGTTTTATAATTTACAATCATGTAAATATATTACCTGGTTTTTATAAGGAGGTGTTTCACAACAAAACCATGATTTAATTATCTTGTAACATGTTAAAATATCCTCACCAGCACTCGTCTTACAGTTCTTTAATTCATCAACATATTTCTCTTTCAGATATTCCTGCAAGATGAATGAACTATAATATTGTTATTGTGATTTCTCAAGGATATTCTAAAATATTACGCTTTAAATTACGAAGAAATATACTTTAATAATAATAGAACTTTACCGAGCCCACGTTTTAAGAAGTCTTGCTCACAAGTTGCTGACTGAAGTCACCAAGTTTGTACGCACGAGTTGTCCCCCATTTATTCTATATTAATGGAATGGTCTTACTAGTCATTCTGACAGAGAATGTTGATTAACCCCGATAACTGGCATATTCGAGCGCTGCGTTTGGTCTTTGCGAATTTTAATATCGTTAAAACCCTCGGCCGAATTTTATCCTTTTCACGAAGGATGAAGTATCAGTGAAACTTCCTTTTGAATACTTAATGTAAGGAAGTAAAACGGAAGTACAATGTAACATAATGCACGATCATGGAAAATCAATTGGTCTATTCAAGTAACTTGATAGACAAAATAGACAAATCCATGTTGAAGAATTGTCAAGCTGAATCTATCTTACCATGAACATAATCAAATCATTATTCATAAAAACATAATGAAATAGGTTACTGCGTAAATAAAATATACTCACCATACATGGTAGGTAATTATAATAAATAAGTTTTATGTGGTGAGAGTTAAGGATAAAGAAGAGTGAGATATGATATACCTATTTCTTAACAACGAAATATACATATATTTTTTATTACATAAATAACATTACGTTTGTAGTGAAAATCATTTAAGGTATTTCAAAGGATATTTCATCTGCAACCACTGACACTATGATATTTTGATCCATGAGTTTATCATTTATAACAGCCAAATCATTCTTATAAGAGCGGTGATAACAATCCTGAAATTCATAAAAAAAAAAATTCTTTAAAGTTAGAAACTATTAACTACCCTTTTAAAGGGATAGGTTCGCAATACGTTTTTGATCAATTGAACCTTAGTCTCAGAAACGAGAATCCTTTTAGCTAAGCTTATCAATTCACAGGTCTACGTCAAAATTAAGGCCTTCAAAGCCAAGAGTTTCCAAAATTATCTGCGTTTGACAGTAAAAAAGACGAGTCGTCTTGAGCTCTGCCATATAAGAAATAGAAAGTGAAATTCCTAGTTTGAGATATATTTGAATGAATTATGCGATTTTCGTACAATTTTAATTCTTCCGAAGACTATTTACATAATCATATTCAAGACCTAAATCAACCTCCGAAATGGAGAGGCTGTCCCGTTAAGGATAGTGAAAAACCTAAATGAGATTGTGTTTTCAAAAAAATAGAGTTATATTACAGTTGATCGATAAGAAAAGGGTCGGAAAAAAGACAGAAGGGCGGCAGTGAAGACAATGAGTCTATCATTTTATCAAAATTATTAAAGCTTAGTTATTACTTTATATATTAATTTGATATACATGTATATTTCTTTTTTATTTGTTCATTTGTGTACTATATTTTGTACGAAATAAATATATTATTATTATATAATTGTTCCCAACACATACATGTTAGCAAAATAGTTATTACGGTTGATATAAAAAAAACCTCGCAGTGTGTAAATCACGACCTGGAATCATTATCTCTTAATATATACATTGAATATTCAATATCTTTTAATAGATACATTGTATATTCATTTTCTAATAATATCAACATTGTATATTCATTATCTTTTAATATATATAAATATTGTATATTCGTTGTATTTTAATATATACATGGTATATTCATTATCTTTTAATATATATGTATTGTATATTCATTGTCTTTTAATACATACATTGTATATTTATTATCTTTTAATATATACATTGTATATTCATTATCTTTTAATATATATGTATTGTATATTCATTGTCTTTTAATACATACATTGTATATTCATTATCTTTAATAGATAAGTAAGTAAGTGTATTGCAAAGAGCAATTTAGACTCATCAGCATGATATATAAATATATACAATATGTACAATACGGAAATAATAAACTATATAAATAATAACAATATAATTATATAACATGATGATAAGTATAAAGATACATTGTATATTCATTAACTATTAATATCAACATTGTATATTCATTATTTTTTAATATATACATTGCATATTCATTATCTTTTAATATATACATTTATGTACATTTTATATGCATTATCTTTTAATATATACATTGAATATTCCTTAACTATTAATATAAACATTGCATATTCCTTATCTTTTAATATATATATTGTATATTCATTGTCTTTTAATATATACATTGTATATGCATTATTTCTTAATATATATATACATTGAATATTCATTAACTATTAATATCAACATTGTATATTCATTAACTATTAATATCAACATTGTATATTCATTATCTTTTAATATATACATTTATGTACATTGTATATGCATTATCTTTTAATATATAAATTAAATATTCCTTAACTATTAATATAAACATTGTATATTCATTATCTTTCAGTATATACATTGCATATTCATTATCTTTTAATATTGTATATTCATTATCTATTGATATATACATTGCATATTCATTATCTTTTAATATATATATTGTATATTCGTTGTATTTTAATATATACATTGTATATTCATTATCTTTTAATATATATTGTATATTCATTGTATTTTAATATATACATTGTATATTCCTTATATTTTATATATATATATTCTATATCCATTGTCTTTTAATATATACATTGTATATTCATTAACTATTAATACAAATATTGTATATTCCTTATCTTTTAATATATACATTGCATATTCATTATCTTTTAATATATACATTGCATATTCATTATCTTTTAATATATATATTGTATATTCATTGTCTTTTGATATATACATTGTATATTCATTGTCTTTTAATGTATAGATTGCATATTCATTATCTTTTAATATTGTATATTCATTATCTTTTAATATATACATTGTATATTCATTATCTTTTAATATATATATTGTATATTCATTATCTTTTAATGTATAGATTGCATATTCATTATCTTTTTATATTTTATATTCATTGTCTTTTAATGTATATAGATTGCATATTCATTATCTTTTAATATTGTATATTCATTATCTTTTAATATATACATTGTATATTCACTATCTTTTTATATTGTATATTCATTATCTTTTAATATATACATTGTATATTCACTATCTTTTAATATTGTATATTCATTATCTTTTAATATATACATTGTATATTCACTATCTTTTAATATTGTATATTCATTATCTTTTAATATATACATTGCATAATTCATTATCTTTCAATATTGTGTATTCAGTATCTTCTAATAGATACATTGTATATTTATCATGTTTTATAATATACATTGAATATTCATTATCTTCTTATAGACACATTGTATATTCAGCATCTTTTAAGTATAAATTGCATATTCATCATCTTTTAATAGATACATTGAATATCCATTATCGTCTAACAGATACATTGAATATCCATTATCTTATAACTTATGCATTATATATTCATAAACTTCCAATAGATACTCATTAGCTTTTAATATTAAATATAACTTAAAGAGAATATTTCATACATTACCTGACAATTAAAACGTAGAATACAAGACATGATAACAGTGAATATTAATCCCATAGCAAATATGCTAAATAAAGGTATCCATCTTTTTACAATATCGTCTTGAAAATATCTGGTCGTAAACAGAAAAATAACTCCCATTAAACAAATGAGACATAAATAGGCTAATACTGGACAAAATAATTTATCGGGTCTTCTGTAATCACGATACATATTCATAATATCTTTTATCATCGTATTGAATATAGTTTCATCCAACTGAAAAAAAAAACACAAAATATTTAGCCTGAGGAGATGAAGTTGACGAGGGAATTGTTTTGCCATGAGATTGCCATTTATCAATAATATGTATATATACATCACGCCCTGTGTTTCATGTGATCTGAAATCTGCTTACTACGATTCCCCTCAAAACAACTAAACATAAACAGGGCCTTATGGTTACTAAACTGTGAGAATTCAAAAGTGATAATACTTTGTATTTACTTACGATAAAACTCTCTTTCTGTAATTGTTGTAGGAACTTCACTTGCAGTGTCAACTTCTTTCTTTCTTTTGAACTATAACATCCTCTATGTGAAGCTAATACTTTCATATTTAGATAATTATCTGAATAAAATTGATTTGTTTTGATAAATGAACTATATCTGATTAAAATATAGATCAGAACAAATGTATAGATTTTACTATTTCTTGATTTTGCTTATATGATCACCCATATACACTTTTAGAAATGCAAGCAGGAAGAATATACTATTTTAAGAAACAACAGATTTTATGGATATAGACTTCTATTTATTATTGAACACAACGTTTCATTGTGTACAATAATAAATAGAAGTCTATATCCATAAAAACTGTTGTTTCTTAATGTGCTGTGATACTCCTAAATGTCTTACAAGGATTATACTATTTTAGTTTATAATTATATTTGAAATTCGTCTTTATTATGATTCGAGAAACTAATCATTAATTCCTTTAGTGGAATAAAGTTGTACAAAACTCACCAGTTTTATCTGCTATTGAACGAATTAAATTTGGAAACCATTCCTCTTCTCTCCTTAAATCCAGGATATGTATTGGAAGTATACCTTTAAATGGCAATGTCATGGTACAATCATCAATTTTTAGTGGAATCATTAGACTATTATCTTTATCAATGTATGTTTGTAAGTGCATTTCAGCGGTATATACTCCTTCGCGACCACTGAAAAACGCGTCTGAAAATATGACAACCATTTTCACCGATTGTTCAATAGCTTCAGTTATACTTCTTATTTGTGTCTTAGCCGGAGAAAAATCCCTCTCTGAGAAGCAACATTTTATACCATGTCCTTCTAGTTTATTTAAAATGTATAGAGCAGCATGTTTATCATGTGGGGAATTTTCACAATAGAGAAAAACGTGGTATTTTTTATCATCGGGAAGTTCAAGTTTCAGTCCAACATGACCCGTGTTGATGGTCACAACCACAGAGTTGTTACTTTCTAACCCACGTTGGTCCTTTCCTTTTGTTAGGTCTTCAGACATCTCTTCCAAATATTACACTATTGATACATGGCACAACTACAATAGGTTAGTGTTAATATCTGTATTGCTGAAGTGCTTCTTTTCCAAGAACAGACCCATGAGAGTTGTTATACAGTTTCCCCCATAGAATTCATACATTATAACATAAACTTTAAGAAATCACAAACGTACGAATGATACGTAGATAAACATTATTGTAATGTATAGAAACATCCCAAGGTGTATTAACTATATATTATATAAAGATATATATCCACTAGTGACAGGTATCACAACAATTAAAACTATCAAAATTATAGTAGATGTTTTCTTACGAGAATAATAAACAACAATGGCGCTGCTATTCGTCCCAATTTAGTTTATCACAGTGAAAATTTCCACTATTTTCTCGATACGGTTTGTTAGTTTATGTCTTATTTTATGTCTTATAATAACATGTTTTACCTCGATCATATCCGGGTCGAACAGCAACCTACAACTGCGAGTACTTAAGTCTTTATTTACATATTTGAAAAATGTTGATGAGTAGTAATAAATGATTCGTCGAATCTGTTTGAAGAACTGTATGTATAAACGAGGTACGGTGTCCGGTTGTCTATAAGACAGAAACAGAAAAAGCAAATCGTGTCCTCATCGTATCCAGGTCAAGGAGCTTTAATAGATGTTAACTTTAACTTTCCCGACTCATCGAAAGAAAATAAAAAACAATCATTGTCATGATGCAACACCATGATAATAAAAATTATCTCCAACGAGTAAAATGGGGAGCCGGGGTGGCTCAGTGAGTTGGACGCTTGCTCGCTAACCTGAAGGTCCAGGTTTCAATCCCGGCATAGGTCAAGATAATACCTTCGGATTTTTCAACCCGGTTTCCCCCTATCAGTGATGCAGGTACGAGGGGCTTACGAGTGTCTAGTCGTTCGGATGGGACAATAACCGAGGTCCCCTGTGCTACAGGCTGTGCACGTAAAGAGCCCTCGACAGTTGGAAATCGAAAACGAGCAGGCTTATGCCACTGTCCTGGCAAAATTTCCCTCATTGCACCCTGCATGGCGTTGCCCGTCTTCATTTGTCCACATGGTGCAGAAAAGTAGGACGTAAAACTCCATTCATTTAATTTCGTTTCCAACGAGTAAACGGGTACGGCCCCAACATGAAATTTTATATATCAGGAATACTATCACGACAACTGAATACCTTCTTCAACCCCAAACTTCCAAAGAAACATACGACTATATAGTCATAATTTCTATAGTCGATATTGCACTCTGTTGAACGCTACAAAGATTTATTAGAAATATATTCGCGGCTTAATAAACATTACGCCAAAATGTAGGCTACACGACTGAGTATTGCGAAATATAGCCACTACATAATTAATAAAGCGTGAAGTAAATCTATCTTATACGTAATCTTTAAATATTTCAAAGTGGCGTGTCTTAGAAAAGTCACAAGATTTGTGTTGAAAAAAGTAAATTGGGACAGGACAGAACTTTAATATTTCTAATGCTATCTATTATCTAACATGGTGTTCAAAAACGCACCTGACGCGATTATCGCCAGGCCGAACCTCTAAAGCGATCGTAGAAGTAGAAGTTCAAATGAAAATGAGTATAAAGAAGGGGGTCACACACTTGAGGCGGTGCGAAAATTTGCTTGTCGTATTGAACAATAGAAGGTAAACAATAATATTTTATTTATTCTTTAACATGAGATCAATAAAAAGTAAGTAATACAATCTGTTGAAAATAAACTTGAAATCTGTTACATTATTGACTGATAGGTCTTATACTGTTAAAAATGGAGACCTTGTTTGTCTCCTAATATTAAATGTCCTTGTTCTATGCAGCAATAATGTTATACAGAGTTTTCTTCATTATCACAATCATCTCGTGTATTGATGGAAACTTCGTGTACCATAAAGGTAAGATTGTGTATGTTGTCTCTTCATTCATGTAATTGACAGATAGAACTAAGTTTTTTCTATGATGTAGTTATGGGTCTTATCACATAGGAAACAAACAGATATTTTCTCACTGTAATTTGAATGTAAGCTTAAATAATTATTTTTATACACATTATTTTGATATGTTATCATCGTTTACATGTATATTCAGTTTACGGTAGTTATGAGTTCCTGTGGCATTCATTTTTCACAATTTCTGATGGTAACTTTACACATAGCTTAGCCTACTTCATTCAATACCCTTACTTCCGAGTGTAGGCAGCCAACTCAAACCCTGCACAGTCGTTTTACAATAGTATATACTGGGAAAAGTCACTCTAATGAAAATTTACTAAACGAAATAGTTGTAATGTAATCAGTTTATGGCTCGGCCGACCCTTGCAAGATATCGAGGGTAAGAATAGTAAGATATGGGGAATTTAATCAATTTGTAATATGTACCAACGCTTCAATATGTGAATAAGGCTGATTTTTAATTTTGGTAAACAGTCATTTGGGCACAAATATTTTAAACGCAGTAAGAAACAGTACTTAAGGCACAGCGTCATTTAGACACAGTGATTTACAACTTCAAACACGTATAAGCTAAATCACTGTGCCTAAATAACACTGTGCCTATAAGACCTGTACCCAAATGCACATGCACCCACTTGTGCTTAAAATATTTGCACCTAAATGACAGTGAACATGTTTTTAAGCTATTGTTAATAAAGAACTTGAATATCACGTTAATGTATATACATTAAGGTTACTTAGTTACCCTGTATATAGCATGCAGCATGTAATCCGGAACGGTATACAAGAATTTATTGGTTAGTGTATTCAAAACATAATCAATTAGATTATGTGTAACAACAAGCCGTTAGTAACAAAAGATCAATTCTAATTATGTTCCTGTTCAACAGCAGGACCTGATCAATTCATAACATTTTGAATTATTGTTTTAAAAAATGCGGTATTTGAGACATTTGTACTCGATGTTGCATAATTATACAGTTTAGATTACGATTGCCTTTGTATCTAGTCAGCCAATTCCAATATTATGTTAGAATAAACTATTTGATTTTTCCACAGGAAAATGTCCAGATAATAAAAAGCCAGGAGAAGAATGGATGACGCCTGATTGTAAAAATTGTGTTTGCCAAGAATGGACATATTACTGTTATGTGTAAGCTTTATGTATAGTAATGTTTTATTGTAACTTTTATTCTCTACTAAGTCAACTCAAACACTTTGGCTTGTTATTTTGGCTCAATTTATGAAACTTTGTTGCCACCCGTTTCCTAGACAAATCTCTTGATGAACAAACGTGGAGGGCATAACACCTGATAGACATCTCCAATTCCCCGTTAACATAAATTCAGGTTCAATCCCGATATAAGTTAAAATAGTCAATAGGCTCGTTATTCATCATTTTTGTATTTTACAATTTTTATATTACAGATGTCCACATAGAACTATCCACGAGAAATTCGGTTGTTATATAGAGAAAAGGGATACTACTGGTGCGTCCTACCCTGTGTGTTGTTTTCCTTATATTCAAGTTTGTCCGGAGGATAAACATTTTAGTAAACAGAAATATAAAGATTATATAGACAATTCCAGACAAATTATTCCAGCGTTTTCAAGAAAATAAACATAACATTATAAATACTATATATATGATGCATGTATATTCTTATAGTATATAATATGATCCAACTATATGTTTTGTCGTGGGTCTTTTAAAATGGACTGCAATTTGATATTAAAAGAAACTCTAATCGATACGCCACATCACCTCCAGGTAGTGGAAATAGATGTGACTGTCCATACTTATTTGGCTAACCGCGGTACATAATATGGCGAATCTGATTTATGAAAAGAGAGTGGGTGTGGGGGGTGGACGGAATATATCATTCGAAGTGTGGTGTTTACCTTTTTGAAAATTTTGTGGCCCCTGCTCGGCCTCATCACTGCTGAAGAGTCCATATAGAAAACTCGAGTCTTTCAGGATGCATAAATATAACATTCTGAGCCCATATGGTGTGTCAAAATGGTCGATCGAGCCGATCTGATCCCGATTAAACATTTCTTTGATCGGCCCGATTGCCGTCTTTAATCGCCTGTCCTTCTTTTAACCCGATTGAGTCATGATCTGATCTTATGGCGGGACAAACAATAGGAGGGGGGGGATGGGGGGGGGGAATCTGATGTGATCGTTTGAACAGTTCTCAGAGAGTCTGGTACTAAAAAGTGATCGGCTACTGATTTTAAACATGTTGATCCAAACTGTCGGAGATCTGATGCGATCGTTTGAACAGTGCTGAGAGTAGGGTACTAAAAAGTGATCGGCTACTGATTTTGAAACATGTTGATCCAAACTGTCGGACCATTTTTATCGTCTATATGTCCCTTTATCTTGTAATCTGGTACCTGATCAGGATCGTTTTCTGTGCTAATAGCCATTGGCCCTTTTCTTAGCTACTAACGTACTAGAATCTAGTTTATATAGCTTTACTATCATACGTAATTTGCACCATCTTCATGATGTTAATCTACTGCAAAAGCCACCATTCTTGTTTGTAAACGTAACGTTTTAATTAGATTGTACGGTTGCGTTCTACATACGAAACTATTTTCTTACGATTTCTTCCCACATTGCCCCTTAATTATTCTTTTTTCGCACCTTCTCTGTTTCGCCCTTTGCTATTTTGACCCTTTCCCGTATCGTGATACTTGTGTTCACCCAGGTGAAAATTAGGTGATAATTCCTGTAATTTTGAATTAAAAACTCACATACGACATATTTCATTTTATATTTCGGATTAAAAACTTTAATTTTCACCTAGGTGAAAATTCGTTGAAGTATCACCTATAGGTCTAGGTGAAATATTAAAGTTTTCAATTAAAAATAACACGAATTATCACCTAGATGAAAATAATTCGGCTATCACCTGGATGAACATTAACATTTTTAATTCAAATTAATTATCACATTAAAGTACGTGCGCCAGTATACTATAGTAACGTGTTAACTGTTATTATTAATTGTACGAACGCCTGTGTTCTAGGCATACTTGCGCATGCGCTGGGCTATGTAAAATACCCGGTTTTCATTCCGCCATTGTATTTTGTTTACCTTTCAATAACAATTTATATCATCCCAGAGTAGTTGTTAATCTGCACGAGTGTTGTGTTGGTCTATACTGACAGTGAGCCAACGTAGTTAGGCCGTTTAAATGTATAACAATTTTATAATTTATTTTTATAAGGCCTATCCATCTTGAACACATTGTGCAAGCTAGACCAAAACATCTGCCTCAAGCCTATTCCAACCTCTGATAGCTAATTTGGCTAGTGATAACTGTCAAAATATCTATCAGAGGCTGGAATATGGGGTCTAGGTTGATCACTTGATACTACACAGGCATATGTTTACACGACTTCCCATCTTTGATTAGTCATTTTGTATTGTATTGTAAGTCTCAGCAAAGTGAGCTTAAGTTATCATCTTTCAAAATCATTGCTCCAACTAGGGCTACTTGGATAAGTTCTCCGTGCATCGGATATAATTAATTTGGTCGATTTTGTCAGCATATGGTCGATTCGTCCTCAATACTTTGCAAGCATTGACGGAGTAAACGTTAGAATGACCTTCATTATTTACCGGAAGTAAGAATAAAAATGTTGTGATGAGGTTGAAGTTGTGATTGTGAGATGATGGAGCGAAAGCAAAAAAGTACACCGTTTGTTCGCTATAATGCATTTGAAATACCTGCAGATCAATATGCTTTCCAGAAAACTATAAATTTCGGCCAGCTTGGTGGAGTAATAGGTAGAGTATAATACCATTTGAATAAATGTCAAGGAGTCTATGTTATGGTAGATAAACATCACATAATATGACACTACTCAACCTTAGCTGTCAGAAATAAACTACTTGCCTACTGTGTACTGTCTTGAAAAGTCTGACCACAATGATTACAGAGTCGCAATCAGTTTTATATGAATTGAAACTCCAAATTATTACTGAGATACTTTGATTGTCTTTGGTTGATAAAGATTGATTGCCAACCAGTCAAAATAAAATAATGTTTGATCTTTTTTTGGGAAAGTTCTGATAAGTGGGTAGTGACATGTTTATTTCAAATTCATAAAATTTTTTATGGAACCAAAGATATCCTCAGATACATGACATGCAACTAAAAAAGTTCATTATTTGTTATTTGTGGTTAAATAATTAATCTTTGTTGTTTCTATTGGCTTTCTACTTGAGAATGCTATATAGGCATACTGATTTAGCTGAATTGTACAGTCAAGTTACCTAATTTCGTGGATTTCGGGAAAGGATTAATAATTTACATGTGCGACCTCGCGTGACCTCCGCATTTGCTTGTTTTGATAAACATGGGTTCTCTCTACAATATCAGCTAGTAGAATGAATCCAGTAGTTTCAAGCAAGGTAAAAATTATCAATGTATACTATAGACAAATACAAAATGGCGGATTTCACTTATTACCAAACGTCACCATTTTTTATCGGCCGAATTTCCTTATAATCCCAAGCGGTAATCGGAATTCAAAGTGTCATCTGCTAGAATGTAGTCCAACGAATGAAGTCACATGATCAACTAGCGGATTCCGTGTCAGCACAAAATTTCTACGGAACACAAAGTGGACCATATTCTTATGTTGTTTCAGTGACTTTTAGCAATAAATCACGCTACGTATCTTATTTTGTTAGTCACTATTTTTTTTTAAAAATCGTGGTTCTTTGAAGGAATTGTCACTAGTTATAATGAATTGATATTAAAGATATATCCATACAACGTGTTTTTCTAGACTTATTTATAGATCTAACATTGTACATGAAAATAGGTGACGCATTTTGCCGCCGTTGCTAATGAAGTATGAGTCAAAGTGAAGGATTCATAAAGTAAATCGAAATAAACCAATTTTAATTATTTTGTAGAATATCTGAGGAAACATCTAAGACATAAAAAAAAAATTCGTTTTTTTAACTTTGACGATTTTGGATGTTGAATCCTTATATCCACGAAAATAGGTTACACCACTGTACTGTATAGACCTTATTCATCCCTCAACACTGAGAGCTAGGTTCATAACGCAAATTATGTCATCCATCAGAAGATGACAACATCATATGCTTGAATAGTCTATGTAATAGATGTAAAATATGATTAGTGTTGAGTTAGTGGAATTGGAGAAGGAAGCTTTAAAGATGTCAAGGTTGTGTTTTACTGCAGTGACACAATGCTGCCTTTGTTTGTTTGCATTATAAACCTCGTTCTGGATTCAAAGCTGCTGACGCATTAATAACATCTACCTATGCCACTTTTTTTGTATTTTCAGGATTTTGTCTTGGAATTGGAAATCATTTAACGTCTAAAGTTCCACCAACAGCAGCAACTACATTGTTACGAATTGCTATCCCTGTTGGAGTAACAGGTAAATATAGATTTAGATGTATTTGCTAACTTTCAATATTAGAGAAGTTGAAACATCACTGTAAAGCAAAAATGTATGAAGTTAAAGATTTCATTTAATAGCTTATGATTATTATGGCAGGAAATACACATTTTACCTTTTTTAAAGACCTATCTTTGTCTAAATTGAGGTCCAATTAGCCAGTTGAGTTGATAAACTTACCAAACTCATTATACTTCAATAATGTAAATATAAGAATTAATAGTAAATAAATGAAATATTTGAATTAATAGTAAATAAATGAAATATTTGAATTAATAGTAAATAAATGAAATATTTGAATTAATAGTAAATAAATGAAATATTTGAATTAATAGTAAATAAATGAAATATTTGAATTAATAGTATCCGCCCACATGTCTCTTTCTTACAGCTGTTACAGGAATAACATATGGAGCAACCTTATCTGCATTGGGAGCATTACGTGGTAAAGATGATGCTAGGAATCACTTATTTGCTGGATTCTGTTCCGGAGCTATACCTGGCTCAATGTTTAAAGGTCTGTATATTTACATGTTTATATTCATTGTTAATACTGTTTTTTTTTTGTAAGTTTTCACATAAGATGTTTTTATATTGATGTTTATGTGAAAATCGTATTTCCGTAGTATTTTTCTGGTCATTCAGTTCTGCGGTTCATCAATATTCAACTCATTGCTTGAATGTATGTTCTGTTTTATATACCTACATTACATGTGGATACACTGCTGTTCATTTGAATGTTCATTTTTAACTAATGAATGTTAATACAGACTGAAGTTGACAAGTTTTTGAGTTATTGCCCTTGACTATAACCTTGGACTGTGAAAGCAATGGTTGCAAGAGTGTTTTGATCTAATCTAAATTCATGTTCTTTTCCTTTTCTCTATTTCAGCAAATCGCTTGTCAGGTGCTATCTATGCAGGATGTTTTGTCGGACTCTGTGCTTGGCTTATTAAGTTAACGTATATAAGAAATGGTGGAAAGAAAAGAAAGTTCTCATCTGAAAGAATAAGAAATCGCCAACAATTCTTTCCTCTCAAGAGTGATGTTGAAACAAAACCTGAGTATGCTAAATATTTTACATAAGAATAGAAGAACAATGAGTATTTGGAAATAATGCCTAAATTAAGGTTTATTAGCCAGTATAGATATAAAGAGTTTTGTTTTCTGGTATAATAAATATAAATTGAACTTTGTTAATCAATCTCGTTTAATGTAAGTATATAATATACAAGTTCAGTGGAATTTTTTTAACTGATTACCTCAATACCCAGGTTTACATTCTGTACACAAACTGTCAGTTTGGTGACATTAATTAAAATTTATTCATACACATTCAATTATGAATACAGAAGTAATAAGCCCGAGAAGCAGATGCTAAGTCTTATGAATTTGGCCCAACAAACTGGGATATAGAAGTGGTATTTTAGTCACAGACTGTGTCAAAATATAGTGAAGTTTTGAATGAACCTTGCATTGGCTAAGTATTCTGTAGTAACAAAATAAAATAAAAACATTGAAATTTGAGAACAGATAAGAAATTGTGCTCTTACCCATGCATGATGAAGAGAACTAAAAACATATACAAAATAAGCGACAGATTACACTGTATTATTTTACATTATTTATTTATATACTTCTTATACTACCATTTTGGACAATTTCAGGAAGACTTTTTTAAATATTATATTTTATTAATAAGCATACTTTTACATTTTTACATAGTACATTATTATTAGTAAATATATATATACAATAGCAACTATTGAACTTAATATAAATGTAAAATAAAACAAAATATGGGAGGGGATAGAGAGTGTCTTGTTTAATGTCCAACAGGAGAAATTAAAAAAAAATACTATTACAAATACAATTCTTTTTTCATCATGATAAATTACTTGTCTAATTTCATTATTTAATCTATTTAAAAAAGATTTAGGAACTAACTGTCTTACTGAATATTTTTGCGGTTGCTCAGTGAGTTGGATGCTTGCTTGCTTGATTTTGACAATCTTGTTGTGAGTGTTTGTAGTTACCCAAGGATTAACCTATTGAAAATCAGAAAAATCAAAAAAATATTTAGTATGAGTAATTGCACTTGTTAAATTTTTAGCTCCTCAACACTCTAGAAGGCACAATTCTTGACAGATTTTGATGAAATTTGGTGCAAGTGTTTATCACCCAAGGATGAACCCTATTGAAAATTCAAAAAATCAAAAAATGTTTTAAAGGGGTTATTTACCTTGTTCTTGAAAACGCTTTCAATATTGGTAATATTATTCAGTGTTGCCTCAAAAAGTTCAAAAGAAGAGGTTGAAGGTTGAATATTTGATACGGGTAATTCTTACTGTACTGCCAAATATTTTTATTCAAAAGCTGTCAGTGGGTGTATAGTGCCTGGCAAGGATACAACATCCTATAAACATGGTTTATGAAAGTAGTACTGATTTTCTGTAAGACTTGCCTTTCAGTTTTTGATGTGATATCGCCAAGAATATAATTTATACATAACAACAAAGAAATGCGAGTTATTTTATAACTATGGTTTGTACATTATAAACATATTATTAAAAATTACATCGAAATATACAAAATATTATAATACAAATTTACCGAATAGCGAGAGTATTTCAAAATATATCAAACTAATATTTGAGGCAAAATTAAATTAATTCTTATCTGTTGTTCAACCGTCAACGATTTAGTTACAGATATAGAAATTTATTTGCGTTATTTTCAGGCCTCAAAAGACATACAATTGAGCAAATCAAGTTTGTTAGTTTGGCAAATTGGTAAGACTTTTTAGAAATAGCCTTGCTAATTTCCATTGTTATAAATAATCATAATTAAAAAACATTGGGAACATTTCTTATTTTCATTCTGACTACATATAATACAGTTTTTACTACAATCATTAGTACATGTAGGTCCTGATTTACCAGAAATACAACCATATATACAACTACCATCATTTCTATTACATGTACCATTATAACAACCTGTACTACATTTACCATCACAATTATTACCATATCTACCATTAATACATCCTACAGTACATCTACCATCTCTATCACAGGTTGATTTACCAGGTAAACATCCTGTACTACATGTTTCATTACAATAATTACCAAATGTTCCTGAATTACATGATTCACAATGTCCAGAATCCTATTTACAATCACCAGGACAAATGTTAAGACAGTGTTCAGTGCATTGGTTTCCAAAATATCCAGATTTACAACTTGTAGTATCTTGATTACATCTATTGATACAATTACTATTACACTTTGTTCGACATTGATTACCATACCATCCTGTCTTACAACTTGTACATTGATTATTATTACAACTAACACAGTTATCTAGACAGGTATCCTGACAGTAATTACCTTTATAACCATCTATACAACCAGTTGTACAAGTTACTGGTCTAGATTGTGATTGATAACATTTACTCTGTTTACATTTAGAACGACATTTATTATTACATGTATCACCATACCATGAT